AGTGGTGCCGCCTCTTCATCTACCGGGAAATCAGAAGCCAAACTCGCACTTTTGCTTCCAATATCGTCGTCATTGCTATTGATGTTGCCATCGGGTGTGTATACATCGGACGACTTTTTTGCTAACTTCCAGTCCTGTTTGCATTTCATTAAAACACGCACGGCACACATTACTAATATAACAAAACAGACTTTCTACGCACAAGTTTGTGACGGGATATAAAAATACAGTTTTTTTTTTTTTAATTAAAAAGAAATGTTTTTCGAGTTTTTCTTCCGGATTTTTAAGCCTTTTCTATGGTTGATTCAAAATTTCAGGTTTTTTCAGATTCATGTTTCATGTTAAGAGCTACATTTTTAGATATTTTGAAGTTTTCAAAATCTTTGGATATTTTTTTTTTTAATTATTCTATAATTTAAGTTTTGAGCGACTGTTTTGGCTTTGGACACCCAAGATTCCTAATACTGATATCCACAAGCCAAAAAACAGATAGCTACATACCTTTGAAATCCTTTCAGGAATACCATCGGGACTTTGTTGTCCCCCAACTTCTCTGACCTTCAAATAATTGTATAAGACGACCCCACAAAGCGCTGCAGGAAGTTCCAACATTTTCATGAGTTTGACTATTTTTAAGCAATTTGCAATCTTTTTTATTAACAATAGCAACATTTGATTGCAACTAGATGACAGGGACATCACCAATGGCGTAGCCAATAATGTTTAGGCCCGTTATGGTAGATTCTGGGAAAACCACCGTCGAGAGGGCTATTAGAATCCAATCTTTAAGAACTCCGGCTACTCGGACAGTCACTGCTCCAGTTCTACCGATCACCAAGAATATCGAGAAGTTCAACAACAATGCGCATATGGCATTGGAGAAGAAAATCCAGAAATTGAACTGAATTTGTGTCACTTCCATCCCGGGCTTCTCCAGAAAATACCATGGGATAAACAAGAACACGAAACTGCACGAAAAAGACAATCCCGGTATACTTTTTTAGATTTCTAGAACGTTAAGAAACATATATGTTCCTGCACAAAATCTCACATAAAGTCACTTAGAAATGAACGAGAAAGCATTTTATTTACAAGTTCAGCTCCAAGGTTATAAAAAATTGTATGTCCTAAGATGTAACTAGTTTGCACTCCTTAGATAAAATAAACAAATGAATCAGGGATACTTGGAAGGGGATG